GATTGTGGCTCAATGGCAATATTTTTCCGTGAAAGGCAATTACATTTTAGCTTTCAAAGCCATTTTATTTCATACCAAAATATTGCTTCTGTCGCAAGCGCTACGATTAATTGGCATTAATTTTTTTTAAATGGCACTGTGTGCCGTCAAGTTAGCTCGAATATGTTATTTTGCAGTCGAGAAATGTAATTTTGAAATTTTAAAATTACTATGGTGTATTTTTCTCAAAAACATATGCCTCAAAACATATGATATATAAAAAAATATAATTCATTTATAAACAATATATGATATAATAAAATAAAATGTCTATCATACTTGGGCGTACAAAATTTTGGATTCTTATTTATCTTTCGTGACAACTGGAGAGGCAATTATGGAGGATTTTTTTTTTATTTTACAAAATTTTATATTAAGGTCGAAAATAAGGCAATAATTTTTTTGTAGTAATTTGTTCAGGCAATTAAACTCTCTTAAAAAACGCTTATTCATTGGGTAGAGACTTTGGCCATTGGTTGACTTGAATTTGTTTTAAAATTTATTTCGGAGGTTCCATTACCACTATTCATTGCCATTACCATTATTATTACGTACGATGACAAATACGAAAACGAATACTAATGGCTAGGCTAGAATAAACATGAAATAATTTTTTGATGTAATATTATTTTCATTTAGGCCCTATAAAGATTAATAAATAGCCAAAATAAAATGTTTTCCTTGCTTCTAATTGGCATTTAATCGGGGTTTAACAACAAAAAGAGATTAAATTCAGTCGTATTCTACTTTTTCATGGGAGCAAGTTTTTTCAAACAAAAAAAAAAAAAAATACGCTGCAAAACGAACGTAAAAATTGTCTTTTGGCGTGTCCCATATAATAGACAATTCCAAAGAAAGGGTTAGGAGCAATACGAAGTTATGCAGTACGAAAGGATCTATAAATGAAACGAAGTAGTGTGGCCCAGGCGAACTCCATGAACGCAGTTCAAATATTAACTCACAGAAGATACTGGTCATGGCAAATATTTATTAGCTGATGGTTAGTGTGGGTCTGCTTCTCTACTGTTGCTACTAGTTAATAATATTTTATATTGGTATTGGTTTTTAAATTCCTCAAAACGCAATTTTCATGTACAATATGCAATAAAGTTTTATTTTTTGAAGTAACCACTTTTTTTTACTGGCACAGGGGGACTTGAAATTTAATGAAGTGAAAAACCGGCACCATGCGACACCTCTCTTCCCTCAGAAACGGCTGGACAAATTTAGATGAAATCCATAGTAGTACTAAAACGTAAAAAAAGTTTTTTTTCGAATCTAGTAACCGCATCAAAGAAACGATTTCGTTTTTTAAATAACGGGAATGTAATCCTTTGAGGAGTAAAGATTCAAATAATTCTGACCACTCCTTCTATTTTTGCCATTTTTTTATATGGAGTCGGTGCACTGTGTGACGTAATTATTGCAATCCGCTTATTTTTGTGTTAGTGCTTTTGTTCGGGATATTCACCGCCGCATTTAAGTCAGTTGCTAATGGCAACAAATTTGTAGTAACAATAACACCGGCTGCATTTCGTATTTGTAAGTATATGAATTACATACATAGTTACAGGATTATGCCAGAGAGTGACATCGGACCAAGTAACTCAGAAAATCAGATTTTTGATTAAGCAGACTATTTACAGTTATTCAAAATGTTACATCAAGGAATAATACTACGAGAAGGACATGTTACGCGTACCATTTATAATTTGGTAAGAATTCTTTTCATACAGGTTTCAGTCAGGTTTTGTGATATTTATGTCCTTTAGATAAAGGACAAGCGTTACGATGATGTAATCGAGTGCATGGTGAATTTTGGCGAAGCAGCCAACACCAGAGCTGGTCTTTCCACATTGGGCTACTGCTACTATCACGCGCAGAAATACGAGGAGGCTGCAACTTGCTATGAGCAATTGTGTACGCTGGTGCCGAAGGAAGCGAAATATAAGTAAATTGGGTGGATTAAATTCAGTGCAAAAGAGAAGCGACTTAATGAAAAAACTCCA